CGTCATTGGTATAAACATGAAACTCTCCAGACAATCAGAAACGTCATTGGTATAAACATGAAACTCTCCAGACAATCTGAAACGTTATCAGTATAAACATGAAACTCTCCAGACAATCAGAAACGTCATTGGTATAAACATGAAACTCTCCAGACAACCAGAAACGTCATTGGTATAAACATGAAACTCTCCAGACAATCAGAAACGTCATTGGTATAAACATGAAACTCTCCAGACGATGGAGAGTTTCATGTTTATACCAATGACGTTTCTGAGACAATCAAGAACCACTTTGTTTTTTTTAATATCCCTTGTAAGAAAATACATATCATTCTTTAGAAAAGTAAACGTATATAAACTATTAACTGAATACCTTTATTTTTTATGTGTTATTCAGCACGAAGAAGGCGTAATTAATTTAGTTTTCGCTACTAGGACTATCTGTTGAAATTATAGACTTGAGGGAAGGCAGCTAGTCAACACATCTACCGCCAACTCTTGGGATACTCTTTTAGAAACGAAGTGTGGGATTGACTTCAACATTATAACGCCTCCACAGCGCAAACGTATTAGGTGGTGGGCTACGAATTTAATTAATATAAATGTAATTAGAATAATTTATACGCTAAAAATGAAAGTTGGCATTTAATGCCGGGTAATTTAACGATAGCAAACAAATAAGAAATATTTCATAGCTTATTAGTTTGAAAATATTTATACACGAAAACAACGTCGTTAGCAGATAATAGCTGCCGGCTTTGAGATGTTTCTAACCCTAAAATTTCATGCCCCTTCTCACATAAAGAAACCTCCGACAGAGGTTACTTTTAATTCATTCGACTTCTTTCCCAGCAAGAAAAAGTAATTTACTGGTCTAAATGCTTAGTTTTCCTACTTATACGTATTTCTAACAGGGCCGGGTTAGAGCAATTCCAACTTATACGTATTTCCAACAGGGCCGTGTTAGGACAAGTCCTACTGTTTTATATTCAGAAATCACATAATGAAACTAATGCATTCACAAAATGTCACCGTTTAATTGGTGCTGTAGAAACGAAAGATTGGCCTTTAAATATAGTGTAAGAAGATATTTAAAAGACAGTTTCTTCTGGTTCTGTTTTCCACCAGCGACTGTTCGTTTCTAACGCCATAAGGTACGTTGTTTCGTTGAGGCACATATTTATTTGTTGCTTTTTGTTTAAGTACAAAAACATGGGTACTACGTCACATGTATAACTATGAAATAATTGAAGGGGCAACATTGTTTACTGACTTTATCTTTTCTCGTAAAATTAGAAGTCACGCATAAAAACACAACTTAAATTTAACAGAACTTAAAAACAAAATTAAGACTATCCGTTGGAAATGGTTGTTCTTTGCTTTGTCTAGACTCAACTTTTTATTTGTTAAGGTAGAGTAATGGCTAAGTATGGTTAATTTAATCATTAGTTAAGCCTAAGTATTTATAATCTAAAGTGGTACCCATGTGGTCACGTTACTGTATATAGGCGACGTCATGTATGTAGTGACTTATACGAGGTTTACATGGTACACCCTACAGTTTCATGCACGAGACTCACGTGTTCACAGACGACACGTTTTGAGTGTATACATGAGGTTTTTATTTTACGTTTCACGCGACTGATTGATTGATTATTACTGGATATATATGCAAACGTGATGCGGAAACTATAACTCAATAAGTTGTTGTTTCAGAAACTGAAACTAAGTTGTTTAAATGTTGTTGTCCCTAAAGTGCGTCAACTTACTTGACAACAGATAAGAAATTTCAGTTAAGAAGTTGGTTAAACGTTATGTAGTAACTAAAAATTTGAAGAATGAGAAAAAGATCCTTTTTTATTCGATTTGTACATCCCAGGGAAACTGTAATTTATATATTCATGACCAATATGTTAACACTAAAATTATATACGGGTTTGTACATCCTAGGGACACGCTAATTTATATATTGATGACCAATTTTAGTGTTAACATACAACATATTATATACGGGTTTGTACATCCTAGGGACACGCTAATTTATATATTGACCAATTGAAGATTACAAATATACAAATATTGATGATCAATTTTAGTGCTAACATTAAAATATTATACACGGCAAGATATCGTATGGAAAATGAATTTGTTTTCATTAGCAAGAGTTTTTTGGAAACGTTTTTCCAAAAATTTATAAAACACAATATAATAAATAAAATTATAAAATATAAAGCAGAATAAACCTGAGTGTCGGGTTATCTCTAATATAGAAAATGTAGTGAATTTGGACTGGTGTCACAGTACAACGACCAACAGACGTTTATAATTCCAAAACACCAATTGGATTTAGACACATCAATTCAACATACACTGATGTGGCTAGGGGAACTTGACTCGCAGTCTGAGGGTCGAGAGTTCGAATCCAGTCACCAAGCATCTTTGCCCCTTTCAGCCGTGTGGACGTTATAATGTGACGGTCAATCCTACTTTTCGTTGGTAAAAGAGTAGCTCAAGAGTTGACAGTGGCTGACATTGACTGGCTGTCTTCTTTAGTCTATCACTGCTAAATTAGGGACGACTAGTGCAGATAGCCCTCGTGTAGTTTTGCGAGAAATTCAAAAACCAACCAACCTGTGTTATAAGAATTAGAACGAAGAACAACACTGTTGTGTTTTAAACAGAGGATATTTCTGCACCTACCAACCCTTGTATGTGATACTTGAAAGGTAATCTTCGTGAGATAATTTAGAGTTTAAAAATCAGCACAATAACAAGTGATCAGCCAAAGCACCAGGTCATGACAGGACTGTCAAAATATATGACAGAGGATAGAGAGTCTACTCTGAGAAACTTCTGGAAACTTGTAAGTTGATTCAGAGTTTACAGAATCATTAGAGATGTTATTATGTGAAAGTGTCTACAGCATGTAGAAACTACAAACGTGGCCGAATGTAGGGTAATATTTGTAACTAGTGTGTTAAAATAGGATTTAACCTGTGATACGAACTGGTTAATCAAATTCAACCTGCTACATGAACTGGTTAATCAATGAAAGATTCAACCTGTTACATGAACTGGTTAATCAAATTCAACCTGCTACATGAACTGGTTAATCAATGAAAGATTCAACCTGCTACATGAACTGGCTAATCAAAGAAAGGTTACCTGCTACATGAACTGGTTAATCAAGGAAAGATTCAACCTGCTACATGAACTGGTTAATCAAATTCAACCTGCTTCATGAACTGGTTAATCAATGAAAGATTCAACCTGTTACATGAACTGGTTAATCAAATTCAACCTGTTACATGAACTGGTTAATCAAGGAAAGATTCAACCTGCTACATGAACTGGTTAATCAAGGAAAGATTCAACCTGCTACATGAACTGGTTAATCAAGGAAAGGTAACCTGCTACATGAACTGGTTAATCAAGGAAAGATTCAACGAGTAAAGTGAAGTAGTTAGTTAAGGTGAGCTATCCATTCCTTCCGTGAATTTTGGCACAGTTTTTAAGATTAAGTTGACAAATGATGAGAGAAGCGCGACAAAGTAAATGTAGATGAATACACTAATACACTGCAATGGCAAGACAGATTTCTGAACATATGACAACTCCAATTCTTAACACGTTTAAGCGGAATACCTCAATACAAGGAGTTTATTGTATACTTCTAGACGCGAATACTTAACAAATAAACACGAGCACAAAGCGAACATCATATTAGCACGGATGATTAAAAATAATATATCTATTACCGTTATAGCTTACTAAGAAGCGTTACCAACAGAAATTGCCAATATTGATGTTCATTACGTCAGATCAGTAGTTTCCAAATTGGGGTCCGTAGGAAACTTTCTCGGGGGGGGGGGGAGCTTAGCACATACACAGGACGCGTAAAATTCAAGAAGAGGGGTTATATTTTGTGAAAGTGTAGAAATCCATGACGTACATGGCATACTTTAGCATTCTAAGGTGACTCCAAGTGGCACAGCAGTAAATCTGTAGGTTTATAACACTAAAAACCTGGTTTTGATACCCTTAGTGGTCAAAGCACAGATAGCCCATGTACTCCTTCACGGGGGGGGGAGGTATTATAAATCTTTTAAGATTGAAAGAAATGCCTTGTTTAATAATGCTTGGAGACGGCTTGAATGGGTAATGAAGAAAAAGTTTTTATTTAGTAAAAGTATAACGATATAATTTATCAGCATTTGTATCCTTGTATAGAACACAGTGGTGTCAGATACCTACAACTGGCAATGTATCCAGTTGTAGGTATCTGACACCACTGTGTTCTCCATGTATCCAGTTGTAGGTATCTGACACCACTGTGTTCTCCATGTATCCAGTTGTAGGTATCTGACATCACTGTGTTCTCCATGTATCCAGTTGTAGGTATCTGACACCACTGTGTTCTCCAAAATTATCCGAACAGAGAACGCTACCACATATTTGTCACAAAGTTGAGGAGTTAAGATATTTCCAAATGAAGTATTGGGATTTTCTTGTTATCTTCTAGACGTTTTTTAAGCATGCAGATCGCTGGCTATTTCTGGAGCGATGCGAAACGAGGAGTATCCGGTTCCGGTAGCATCTGGATTTTGAGAGGTGTAATCTCGATCCTGGTAACATTCACTCTGTTGAGTAAAGCAGATGATTGTCAACTTCGACCTGTGATGCACGTGCTGAAGTTTCCAAACTGTCGTGTTCATGTGATCCCTTCATTTGCCTGTCAAGGAACGTGTTCTTCTTATGTAGAGGTAAGATGTAGGAAGATAACATGCTCCTTTCATATACAGGTAAGATGTAGGAAGATAACATGTTCCTTTCATCTACAGGTAAAATGTAGGAAGATAACATGTTCCTTTCATCTACATGTAAAATATACAGGTAAGATGTAGGAAGATAACATGCTCCTTTCATATACAGGTAAGATGTAGGAAGATAACATGCTCCTTTCATCTACAGGTAAGATGTAGG